CTCCCCATACCTTTCAGGTAGATACCAATGCCCCCCATACAGATGGCGAGAATGAGCCTGACAGGTGTGAAGTACCTTATCCCACAGCCACGTGGTGAATAAGGGACAGGGACAGGATTTGGGGGAAAGGAGCCTGGAGGATGGGAGGAAGGTTATTCTTTCCAAAAATCAGGACTTTTTTAAAACGCCGCGGGACACGGGACAAATTGTTAAAAATTGGGACTGTCCCTCCAAAAGCTGGGACTGTCTGGTCACCTTAGAGGTGAGAAGATCACACACACACACACACACACACACACACACACACGTCAACTTAAAACACTTTGAGGTTCCAAGTTCTCCTAGAATAAATTCAAAACCTAGCAAGAATCACCAGATCTTTTGTGTCTGGCCCTGCCTATCTCTCCAGCCCATTTGTTACATGCACACACACACACACACACACACACACACACACACACACACACACTTATAGGGGCAAACCAGCAGTCTGGCCTTACCACTTACCCTGTGGCACACGCATCAGTATGTGTCATTAATGGACTGTTTTATGTTCGCAGCCAGCCCTTCACCAGGACCAGAGAAACAGAACTTCCTGTCTACCAACTGCCCTGAATGCCTGGGGAGGGGACTTGAGGAGGGTGCTGACATCCATTGACTGGGCAGCTCGGTGTGCCAGATCCCTTCTAAGCCCTCTGTGGGAATAAGTGGATTTAATTCATGTTGTTCTGTCAAACGAGGTGGCATAAAGGGTGATTGACTCCCTCTTCCAAATTAGCACCAGAGAAAGTATTGGATGAGTGAGAGGACTGGGCTCCAGGGTGTAATCACAGAAGCGAGACCCAGCAGAGACTTGGGTGGGTGGTGAGGGTGCTGAGTGTATGCAGCCCTGGAGGAGGTGGGCACTGAAGAAAGATGAGCTTTTCATGCCTGCTATTTCCTCTCCTTGCACAGCCCTGCACACTGGTTCCCTCTGGGCAGAAATCAGTCCTGGCCCCACAGTCAGGGAACGGGGTGGGAGGTACCCAGGGATGCAGGGGCAGGCCAGTGCACCCGGAACCCCTCCTCATGCTCCTCATACTCCCAGACTGGGGGCTCCAGCTGGGAGTCCCTTCTCCCCCCCAGCCCTGGCGCTTCTCTCCAGGAGCTGACGAGATTGTGGTCCGGGCAGGTGGGCAGTGACCAGAGCTGTCCACACTGAAGCTCAACAGCCTCCAGGGCTCCCATCTCAGCTTGTGAAATACTTATTGTTAGGTCAAGGCAGGGGGGAAGCCCAGAGCCCAGGCAAGCATCTGCAAGGTGGATGGTGACAAAGACAGCTGGCTAGCTGGCGCCTTCTAGGGCCTTCCTAAACCCCTGACCTGAGGAAGGAATTGCACACTCTCATGCCCTCCGCCCACCCCTCCCTAAACAGCTGTAAGAAAGAAGCACCTATTCCACTTTTTGGCACCAAGTTCCCTGGCCCACTCTCGGAGCAGCAAGCTTTGCCTGGGAGCACAGATTAACACCTCCCCCCTTTTAATCGCCTGGACTCTGTGTCTTGCTTCTGTGTCGCAAACCGCTCAACTCGAACCTCACACTTATTCCCAGAAAGGTGTGGGCACGGTGGTTTCCTTCTGGGGCTGCAAGAGAAAATCAGTCCAGGTCTCTCCGAGCTTCTTGTGGCAGCCAGCTAGCCTTGGTTCCTTGACTTGGAGACCCATCCCCCCCACCCATCACTGAGTCCCAGTCACATGGCCAGTGAGGGAGTCCAAATTCCCTTTCACAAGAACACCTGTCATTGCAGGTAGGGTCCACTCCACCCAAACCACCTCTGAACTTGATTACATCTGCAGAGGCCCTATTCCCAAACAAGGTCACAGTCACTATTTCCCATGGGCATGGGAATCTCAACCTCAGAGTGACACCTCCATCTTGTCCCAGTTCAGATTCTTTCCTGACTTAATCAGAGTGCTCCCCCTCTTCTGCCCTTTGTACCTTTCTCAGAGGTGGATTATGTTCTTTTCCTTTAAGAGTCCTTACCTTCCACCAACTGTATAAGATTTTGGACCCATAAAATATGGATCCATATCTCATCTACCTTCAAAATAGCAACGATCATATTTTCCTGGGATTGTTGACTCACATATTTTGGATTCCCGGCCCAGCACAGTATAGTATAATAGTTGTTCATTCCTATATAATAAAAGGCTAATATACAAATTGTCCCCTCCTGTGGGAATTCAACTGACCCTGAGTTTGACCACTCGCTATGATGTGTGCTTCCCACTAGGGGGCAGTGCGAAACATGGTGGGTGTTGATGACTCAGCACTGGCAGTAGATGGCAGTTGAGGCATTGCCAGCCCCATGGTCCCTGCTGAGAGCAGGACCACAGCAGGATGGTGGAGCAGGTGAATGAGCAGCGCCAGGCCAAGGTGGGGTGCCAGGCAGGACTTTGGGGCTGCAAGGCTGGGGGCACGAACTGGGGCCCCATCTTTGCAGGGCACTCTGAGGGACCCCACCCATGCATGAATTCCATGCACTGGGCCTCTAGGAAATATATAATACACATTTTCAGGAATTTTGTCTGCAGATCCTTCTTTCTCACTGGGCATTTATTATTATCAGAATTTATATTGTAAAGTGAGGCTGATATGTCTCCCAAACAGAAGTTAATTTGGTTTTCAGGAGAGGAACTTCCTAGGATGTCATGACTGTACTTTGTGCCTCGTGTATCAATCCCAGTTTAATCTCCTTTGCTCATGTCACAGGAAGCTGCCCTTGCCTCACTAGGATAAACAGATCGCCCCACAGACATTTAAATTTGACAAGGCCCTGCCTTTACTGCGTGGCTCAGTGGTTGAGCATGACCTATGAACCAGGAGGTCACGGTTTGATTCCCAGTCGGAACACATGCCTGGGTTGTGGTGTGCAGGAGGCAGCTATCAATGATTCTCATCATTGATGTTTCTATCTCTCTCGCTCTCCCTTTCTCTCTGAAATCAATAAAAAAAAAATTGTGTGTGTGTGTGTGTGTGTGTGTGTAATTGTGTATGTGTTTATGTATTGACAAGGTCCTTAGTATCTGCATCTTTTGGGGGTCGAAGACAATTTTTTTAAAAAATTAAAGATAACATTTTAATTAAAGCGGTGAATGTTTTTTGGGTTTTTTTTTCCTTTCAGTAAAAAAGAAAGAGAATAAATACCATAAGTCCACTACTCAGAGAGAATAATTTGGAATACATCCTTTACCTCTATATATGTATCTATATCTATTTAATTTTATAAAAAGCTAACAATACTGTACATATATTATGAACTTCTTTCAGTATGTAACATTTATTTTTAAAATATATATATATATTTTATTTATTTTTTACAGAGAGGAAGAGAGAGGGATAGAGAGCTAGAAACATCGATGAGAGAGTATCACCGATCAACTGCCTCCTGCACCACCCCCACTGGGGATGTGCCCTTGACTGGAATCGAATCCAGGACCCTTCTGTCCGCAGGCCGATGCTCTATCCACTGAGCCATACCGGTCTCAGCAGTATGTAACATATTTAAATGATGAAATAACTTTTAAAAGATTTTTATAAAATTCTCTGATAAAATGTGCTGAGTATCCAAACCGGTTTCGGCAGCCCCATCTTTCTGATCAGGCCCCATTGGTAAACCCAGAGACACTTTCTGGCATAGGAACCAACCAATCAGAACCAAATGTGGATGCTATGAAGAACCAATGGCTGCCTAGGAACTGACTTAGACATCAACTAATCAGAACTAAATGTGGGTGCTGTAGGGAGCCAATGGTTGCCTACGAGGCAGAGCTTTTAATGCTGACTGGCATAGAAACCAACCAGTCAGAACCAAATTGGCCAGTAGAGGAGGGCAGTTGGGGTGATCAGGCTGGCAGGCAGAGGCAGTTAGGGGCAATCAGGCAGACAGGCAGGTGAGCAGTTAGGAGCCAGTGGTACCGTGTTTCCCTGAAAATAAGACATCCTCCAAAAATAAGACCTACTTACAGGTTTCCTTCTGAGTGAAATATAAGGCATCCCCCCAAAAAATAAGGCCCCCCCTAGGCTAAACATGAGAGATTTGGTCCACAGATTCTGAAAGAAATGGAGTCACAAGAAATTCACCAGGAAATTCAGGTATTGGATTGTTATGATGATGTTCCAGAAGATGATGACATGATTGTCATTGAATCAATGAGTAAATTCTTGATACTGTAGGATTCACAGTTTGTCTGGTTTGTGTTGACAACTACCGTACTACTGTATCGTATACAGATAATAAATTTCCTTTATTTTCATTTAACAACAACAACAATAAAAAATGTGCTGAGTATCTTGTTCTAGTCTACAAAGTCGTAGATAATATAGCTACTATTCCCAGGTAATGTGTTATGGAGATGTAATATATGTATATGTACAAAAATGCAATATACATGTATATGTGTACATAGATGTAATATAAAAGATAAAAATGTGCAATTATAGGAGGACTTTAATTTAAAGGAGTTGACGCCACTTCTTCACACAACTCTAGAGGGCACCATCCATTTAGACTGTGATGGTCAGTGAATATTTAACGAAAAAAGTTCAAGATGGGCTTGTCGGGTCTTCTAGCCAGGTAAATTTCATAGGTAAGCCTTTTGAAATGGAGAAGAGTTTTGTTAGGAGTGGTTAGTAAATAAAAATATTTTATATATTTCTTCTAGTATTTCTTTAACGAGAGTCTACTTAAAACCATCCGGGAAATGCAAGCTTTGAAAAGTACAGAAAAAAACCCGCGTCTCCTAAGTTTGTCACCTACGAGACGCCGTGGAAATTTCCACGCTGGGAGCGTTGCGGTGCCTACTGGGAGTTGTAGTGCTGCCGCCGTCTTCCTCGCAGCAGTCAGGGCCCCCGCGAGACTTCATTTCCCAGTAGGCTGCGCGCCCTGGCTGCTGGCGGGACTGGCGCTGCCGCGCTGGCTGCGGAGAGTGACTTTGTGAGCGTCTGTCCCTGTCGCGGGGATGGCTTCGTTCGTGACGGAAGTTCTGGCGCACTCGGGGAGCCTGGAGAAGGAGGATCTGGGCACTCGGATCAGCCACCTGACCCGGCGGGTGGAGGAGATCAAGGTGCAGGCGGGGAAGCCGTTGGCTGTCAGACTGAAAAGGGACGCGGGATCCCTGGGGGACGGGACGGAGGGGAGAGGGGCTAAGGGCGGACAGCGTGGGTGCGGCCGAGTCCGGTGTGGGGCTGGGTGGGGAGGGTGAAGGGCAGGAAGGCTTCCTTTCCCAATATTCACCAGCAAGAGAAAACACATGCAAGCTTGGATGGTGACCACCAGAGGGCATACTGTCCCCAACGGCCTGGTGGTTAAAAGCAGACAGATTGGTTTCAAGACCCTCTTGTGACCTGGCTATGTCTATAAGCCTCAGCTGCCCCCTCTGTAAACAGAAGATCATAATATTTCTCACAGAATGGCTGAAAGGAGGGAGGCAACAGATGTAAGGCGCTTAGTTTAGCAGGGTCCTGGACCCGGTCTCCTGAATACATAGCTGTGAGTAAAGCCTTGATGAGGTGACAGGAATAATGATCAGACGGCTGCTGGAGCCTGGCTGGTTCTGTCTGCTTCTACCACATCTTCCATTGCAGACAAAGTCACTCACAGGCACAGATAGCGCCTATTCATCTACTGTTATTGAGAGGATGAAATGCTTTTCAGCTCTGCTTGTCCCAAAAGGCTTTATGAACAGACCTTCTTGGCCAGGAAACTAATGGAGACAGTGTGGCTTGACACACTCAGAAACATCCCTGGCTACTGACTCTATAGCATGATAGGTGAAGCCATCAAGACTACAGTGTCTGTGCTAAAGGTTTTTGAGATTTGTTTGAATTCTTCGCTTCTTTCTAAGTCTTGGCAAGCCTCATGCTGTCCAGAGAGTAACAGAATTTCAGAGTTGGAAAGGACCTTGTTCTGACCACTTGAGGGAACTCAGGCTCAGAGAGGGTAAGTGACTTACTGGAGGACACACAGCAAGTGGATGCTGACAAGGACTACATGCAGCTGGTGTGGCTCTTCCCATCCTTCAGCCTCAGGTGAAAGATAGAGGATCTAGAACCAGACAGACTGAATGGAAGCCTACAGTCTCTGGGAAGCCTGGATCCTAGTTTTGCCTTTGAGACCAGAAAAGCAGGAGAAAAAAATAGTCATACAAAGGAAAACCCAATTGGACCAATATGCAAATAGGAAGTTTAGTTTCTCTAGGAAATAAAGAAATAGCAATTAACACAAACCTTATTGCTCCTGGAAAATGCATAAGAATTAAAATAAAACACCAGAGAGTGTGAAGATTAAATTGGTAAAACACAATTTTATATATTGTTGATTGGTAAGCCAAAACTCATATCATACTTATATCATTCTATTACCCCTTCTCTCAATATCTATCTGTCTGTCTGCCTGATTGTCTGTTTATCTCTGTTGGGAATAAGTGCTGTCCAAGAAAAGTCTTGGATTATAGACTCCTAAGTAATCTTGAGAAGCAAGCTTAACATGACAGGGACAGCCTATGACCCTTCTCCTGATAATCATCCACCCTCTAATCACCAATACCTGGAAATTGAGCAGAGGGGCGTGAAGATCAGGTGGCTGAGGATTCAGATACCAGATGCCAAATCCAGAGCCCTGCCCTTCATGCAGATCTGGCCAGCAGCCCTAGGCAGGCCGGGCATGAAGGTTATGGAAAGGGCCCTTTTCCTCCAGTAAAGGGCAGTGAACACCCAGGACAAAGATGGTAAACCCAGGGCAGGCAAGTCTCTCTGCCTTCCCTTGCCTGGTACAGACATGGTTAGTCAATCCACACACAATTTTCCAAGAAGCCCAATCATAGCTGCAAAACCTTTCAGAAAATGGTACTCCTGGCAGCCAGCAACACCAACTGAAGTTGCAACCAGTTTCCATCGGAGACCAGGCTCCAGGTTGGTGGTTTGGCTGAGCAGTCAAAACTCTAGGGTTGAGGCTGGCGGGAGGCTCTTCTGTACAAACACTCAGGCTACCAGCCTCCCCATAACACATACAATCAGCCACCAAGAGGAGCTTGTGAAGCCACTTCTCCCCTTTATTTATTTATTTTTAAATATATTTTATTGATTTTTTATTTTATTTTTTTTAGCAGAGAGGAAGAGAGAGGGATAGAGAGTTAGAAACATTAATGAGAGAAAATCATGTATCAGCTGCCTCCTGCATACCCCCTATAGGGGATGTGCCTGCAACCAAGGTACATGGCCTTGACTGGAATCGAACCTGCGACCTTTCAGTCCACAGGCCGATGTTGTATCCCCTGAGCCAAACCAGTTTCAGCCACTTCTTCAATTAGAGATTGCCGCTATGTGAGTTTGAACTGGGTGCCATATTGGTTCTATGAAATGCTGATCTCCCTGCATTTAGTAGAGGGTTTGGTCCACAAAAGGCACTTACTCACTCAACACTTGTTTTGGGGGCATTTACCTGATGCTAGGCTCTTCCACACGCTGGGTTCACATGCAGATGTAGTTTCCTCAACTCATGAAGTTCGGTCAAAAAGGGGAGACAAACAGCAGTCATTAAATATTAAAGTAACATATACATATAAACTAGTAATTAAAGACGGTGATGACAACGGTTGTGAAGAAAAAACAATGTGAAATGGAGGAAAAATTGGGTGAGGGTTGGAATTTACAATTAGCAAGAGGAAGACCTGAGTATGACAAGGAGCCGGACATGGAAGATGAGGGATGAGCACAGGCCCTGGGGTGGAAAAGAGTCTGGCAGGTGGGAAGAGCGGAAAAGAGAGCAGAGATTGCTGGGAGGCATGCGCTCCCACAGAGCGCAGGGAGAGGCATGGACTGTCTGGGGAAATACCACAGCCTGTACCCCCTGCTTTGAACTCACATGTTCTACATCAGCTGCTCCAGGTCCTGGACTTTAAGGCTTGGACCCACAACAGGTGGGACGCTCTTGCCCACCTTTGTGAAGAGAGCCTCAATCTTGTCCTGAGCAGGAAGTCAGCCAAAGTCCATGCAGAACACAGCCCTCCACCTCCGCTGCAGGGACACAATGGTCATCAGGCCTTGTCCTGAGCATGCTCCCCAGCATCCCACTCCATGAGAGTTTCACTCACACAGGCCCCCTGGAGAGCCAGGAGCGCCCAGAATCACAGATTTGTGACAACATCACAGGAGCAACACAGGGAAGCACTAGGAGCCTCTTGTCTATTGACCTGAGGCCTCTGACCTCACGCAGGGTTTGGACAATAGCCTCCTCCCACCCACCTTTGGGGAACGCTGAAGGGCAGAGTTAGGAGTGGGGTGCTGTGTCTCTGGGCACACTGTGTGCTCTCGGGTGGCAGAGGTCAGGGCTGGAATTATGCTGCCTGTTAGGAGACCAAACATGGTCCCAAATGGGAAGAGGGTGGTCACAGGCAGCTTCGGGAAGAAGCTGTTGTGAGGCCAGCGTTTGCCTGCCACACCTGAAGGGAGTGGAAAACCAGCCTGGAGGGAAAGGAATTTGATGGGCTATGGTTTTCTGCCCAACCAAATCCTGGACAGTCAATGAGGGGCCCTGAGGGCAAGGCTCTTCTCATTGAGCCTACCACAGAGGTGGAGCCGCTGGGGGTGGAGCCAGGACCAACAACCCACCAAAGGCAGCCCTTCCTGGCAGTGGTGGTGAGCCCTTGAATGGAAGTAAGGGAGCTTTGTTTGGGCGCAGCCTGGAAGATAACACATGGGGGAGTGGGAAATAGTACCTCCTAGCACATGGGTGTTCTTACTGCAGGGCTTCTGCACACCTTTGGGTGTTCTTGTGACAGGGGCTGCAGGCACGCCTACTTCAGCTTCTCTCATAGTGACTGGTGCAGGAAACCCCACTTGTTTCCACTGTAGCGCTGAGGTCTCCAGCTGTGCAGCAAACATCTGGAGTAGGGGCTCAGCTCCAAATACCACAGCTGCCATGAAAGCACCAAACTGCAGGGCCAGAGCCAGTGCTGTCTGACCTTGAGCAGTGCTGCCACCCAATGGCTCTGTGTTGGACACTGCACTGTGCTTCTCAGCAGCTGCAAGGCACCCTGCACAACAGAGTTGATTGTCTCTTAGGCAGGAAGCAGCCTGTGGTGGGTGAGCCAGGAAGACCAGCTTCAACCAGTTTGAGTCCAGATGACAGGGAGCTGACCCCCAAAGGATCTCACCCCTCAGTATAGTCTAATGTCTGTGCTCCATGTCACAGCCAGCGGCTCCAAGACAATGACAGAAGGTGTCCACGAATGAGGAGAAAATATGTGGAATCCTGATTCGGGGGGAAATTGCCACCCCTTTCCCAGAAAGACCAGGAAGTATTTGTCCTTCTTATTTGCCTGGACCACTGCTTCATTTCAAGCCTCTTGAGTATACAAGATTTCAGAGTTCCAACTTGTTGGTGACAGGATGTAAGCTGACAAGGTCCTTGCATCTGAGGGGGCTAGCAGGGCTGGCCCCCTACCCAAACAGTTTTTCCCGACTTGTTTGGATAGCCATTATCAGTAGAATGCAAGTAATTTATGTAGTGGGAGAGCAATATTTTATGTCTTGCCAGGAAGTCTGTATTTACCTACTGAAGATTTATTGGACTAAGAATCTGTCCTGCTGCTCTATCTCTCCTTTAGAGATTAAGAGGAACAAGAAATGCACTCCTCTTGACAGACCTCTTATTTTGGCAATTCGTCTGAATGGCACTAAAATCCCACCTTTAATCATTTCTAAGGGCAAGAAGGAAACGATTGAACGTGTTTTGGGAGTTTTTATTCTTGAAACTGAAAAAGCCTGGGCCACAAAAGCAGTTATAAGGAAGTGGGTCGATTTAATGCTGCCGCTTGTTATGCAAGGGAGCCAAAGAGGTCTGCTTGTCTGGGATGCAGCCAGCACTCACCTCGCTAAAGACATGAAGACATTTCTTCAGGAAAGAAAAATAGATCAGATAATGATTACCACAGGAATGACGGCCTATCTCCAGACTCTTGATGTTGCAATACACAAGCCATTCAAAGACAATTTGCACATGGAAATTAATGACTACATTGAAAATAGAATGGAGAGAAATCAGCATGGAAACTTTGTGAAACATAAACTGCAAGAAGTTGTGACTTGGGTGAAGAATTCATGGGAGAAAATCACTGACAGTTGTATTGCAAATGCACTGCAAGCAGGCTACATTGTCAAGAAGTACTCATTTAAAGACAGTGCTATTGCTAAACATGAGAGA